CCGCCCCACCGCAGGGCCGGGGTCGGGGGCTAGCATGGAGCACCTGGGTCCGCACCATCTCCACCCGGGCCACGCGGAGCCCATCAGCTTTGGCATCGACCAGATCCTCAACAGCCCGGACCAGGGCAGCTGCATGGGGCCCTCCTCTCGCCTCCAGGACGGAGAATACGGCCTTGGCTGTTTGGTTGGAGGCGCTTACCCTTATGGCGGCGGGGGCCCCGCGGCCGGGGCGGGGGCCGGGGGCGCGGGGGCCTATGGCGCTGGAGGCCCGAGCGGCCCCGGTGGCCCGGCGGGCGGCGGCGGCGGCAGCGGCGCCTGCAGCATGGGCCCGCTGGCCGGCTCCTACAACGTGAACATGGCCTTGGCGGGCGGCCCCGGTACCGGCGGCGGCGGCGGCGGCGGCGGCGGCGGGGCGGGGGCGCTGAGCGCTGCGGGAGTGATACGAGTGCCCGCGCACAGGCCGCTAGCTGGAGCGGTGGCCCACCCTCAACCTCTGGCTACCGGTTTGCCCACCGTGCCCTCCGTGCCTGCCGTGCCGGGCGTCAACAACCTCACCGGCCTCACCTTTCCCTGGATGGAGAGTAACCGCAGATACACAAAGGACAGGTTCACAGGTGAGTCCGGCCCGCGCGCGCCCCGCCTGGCCGCGGTCCCGGCTCTCCTCTACCCCCTCGCTCCTGCCCCGCGGCTCCCCGCAGCCCCCTCTGTGCGCCAGGTCTCCCAGCTCCTCTTGGTGCCTCCCCCAAGTTCAGCCGCCCGCCACCTCTCTAAGCTCGCGGAATCGACTTGCTGGAAGAGTTCTCCCAGCCTGGGCCCCTCTCCGTCTCTCCCACAGGACCCCTGCTCTGAGAAGCTCTCCCTGATCCCTGGGCCCGGTCAGGCGGAGGGAAGGGGGATGTAGCTTCGGGACTACTACCTTCCGCCGGCATTTGGGGCTCGGGTATCTCGGAGAAAGGGGCGCGATGTGAACAAACTGTTTCTTCCGTCCCGGCAGATGTTCTCTGGCCGAGGCGGCGAGCCCCAGAATCAGACGCAAGGAAAACAGGTTCACACACACACACACACACACACACTTCACGCTCCGTGGTCCAGTGCCCATCGCGCTGCCGAACCCGGTAGAGGCTCCGAGCCGGAGTAAAGCAACAGAGCTGGCGGGCCCTTCTTCCCGGACTGCAGGCTCCGTCCGGGTCAGTGGCAGCGCGAGGCTGAGCCGCCCGCTTCATTTTCGTTCTGTCCCGGCTCGGCGTCCTCCCCTCTGGGCCCAGCCTTGTTTCCTCCGGCGTGAATAATGCACCGGCCAGGCCCGTGATCGATCGGCAGCCGAAAGAACTCCTGGGACGATTACGCACTCGGCGGCTTCCGCCTGCCGCCCTCTCAGCTGCCTGCTCCGCGCCTTCCTCCGCTTGCCTCGGCTTCTTCCGCTCCCGCTTCCGCTCACGGCACTCGGCTCTCGATCCTGCGCGGGCCCCTTTCCCCGGCCTTACTTCCCGCCACCCCTAGTGTTCCCTGGATCTGAGACTACGATCCTCCCGCCGGACCAGGCCCCCAAGCCCGCTGGGAGGCAGCCACGAGTTGAGCCTGAGTTCCTGGCCGGGCCTTAGACAGAGGAAGCAGGAGGCATAGGCGGCTGCCGACCGACCACGACGTGGGGCTCCCATGGGGCTCGGGCTCCAGGGCCCAATGGGGGAAGGGGAATAGGCAGTTAAGAGCTAGACCCTGGGCTAAGCCCCTGTTCCAGCTTTGGAACCTTGGCCCAGACCCTGGGTCTGTGGCAAAGTGGGGTGCAGGGAGGTAGAAGAGCCATTCTGCTCTGGGCCTCCAGAAGGGGCCCTAGTGCCCCAACCCAAGTCCTCTCAGGACTGGGGAGGCAGGGCCTAGTGCCCCATCCCACTCCCCCCACCCAGGCCAAGCTGGTCTTAAAAGACTCTGATGGAACACCCTCTCCCCCCACCCCGAGCCTGGAACCCACTGGGCCTGGGTCTCTGGCAAAAAGTACTCCACGTAGCCTACCTAGGGGAGCTACAGCCTGCCGTAATCTTGCTTCAGGCCTAAAGAAGGTTCTGAGGGAGTATATGGCTGTCACCTTATGCATCTGCCTTTGTGCCTGTGCTTGTCTGGGTGTCAGCTTGTCTGGGTGTATAGATCTATAATTTGCCCCTGTTGTATGTGATGTGTCTGTGTATGTTGCTGTGTGATGGAGGCCTCAGGTCAGGACCCAGCATTCAGGGCCTTGACCAAGGATAGCCTCTTACCGTTGGGCAGCTTCTCTGAGGCTGGAGACCTGAGGCTATGGGGGGAACTGCGACCTTTAGCTCGCCTCAGACGTGCCCCTCAAGGAGACTGTGGCTGTGTCTGATGGGCACGTGGGAGCTCAGGGCTAGGGAGGCCTCCGTGGTGGCAGCAGCGGCGTGGGCCTGGTGGGAGGGCGGGGGCCATTTCACGCCGCGGGCTTGGAGCTGAGGGCTGACAGGAGGACCACAGCCCTTCTCCTGGGGTCTAGCCGCTGCGCTCGCTGACTCGCGGGGTGTCGGGCCTGGGACGCCTCCTGACGCTCTGCCGCTTGCCTCTGCCATCTGTCTGTCTCCCGCTCCAGTGGCCCTCTCACCCTTCACTGTAACACGCCGTATAGGTCACCCCTATCAGAATCGGACGCCCCCCAAGAAGAAGAAGCCGCGCACGTCCTTCACGCGCCTGCAGATCTGCGAGCTAGAGAAGCGCTTCCACCGCCAGAAATACCTGGCCTCGGCCGAGCGCGCCGCCCTGGCCAAGGCGCTCAAAATGACCGACGCGCAAGTCAAAACCTGGTTCCAAAACCGGCGGACAAAGTGGAGGTAAGCGCGCTGGGCGGGCGCGGCCGTGGGTGGCGCAGTCTCCGGCTCCAGGCCTCTCTGGGGGCGTTCATACTCCCATGCTCGCCACTTTCCTATGGCTCTGGTTCGGAGGAGCGCGCTGCTCTGCTAGGCTCGCGGGGAGCGGAAAGCCACCGTGGCCGATGACCGGACTGGGCCGGAGAGCCCCAGCTGTTTTTCTTTCCGGCTTTCTGGCCCAGGGGCGCACACTCAGTGCGGGTGTAGACGCGGCTGGTCTCCGCCGCTGCTTGGGGAAACGTCTGGGTTTGAGCGCAGTCTACGCAGTCCAGGCTTCCAAGATCAGTGAGTCCTGAGGAACTTTTTGTTTGCGCAAACTTACGAGTACAGAGATGCCTCGTCTATCCCGGAGACCGGAGGCAGAATGGCAAGCGCCCTGTTTCTGCGCCCCAGCCGGGGCTCCCGCTAGAGCGTCTGGGACCCCATACCATGGGCCTGGGCCCTGCTGACTCCCTCCTCCCCAGACGCCTGGCCTGGGCGCAGCGGTTCCCCTACCCGGCAAGGGGGAAATCAATCTGTGCCGGCTGCGGCGGGGTTTTCGAGGGTCCTACTGAAAGGGGGATCAATCAGGAGCAGATGGGTGTATGTGTGTGAGTGAGAGAGAGAAACATTTTCTCTTCTCCCGTCACACACTCACAACTACACTCATTTTTCCCCACACACAGGCGCTTTCTCCGGTTGCACCCTCTTGCACACCTGCACCCTCCCGCACATCTGGCCCGCATACTCGGTTCCACACACGCCGGGAGTTTCTTGCTAGCTCAGGCCTCAGTGGGGAGAGCAAGAGAGTCTGGGCGAAGTCCCCGGCGCCTGGCCGGGAGGGCCTGGGTCCGGAGGAAGGAATTGGAGTTTCTTTTTCTGAATGAAGGCTAGGAATCTGCCGCTGTGGCCACAAAGGAAGCCACTGCCCCGCGAGTCTGCTGCTCCCCCCACATTCCT